ATGCGCAGCAGCAAGAAGGTTTCGGTCATCCCTTGAGGGTGAGTCTAGCCCTGCTCGCCAGAAAGACCCCCCCCTTCGCTACAACCCATGTCTAAGCAAAAGCTTGTCGAGGAGCGAGGGGAAGAAGGGAGAGTCTAACATGAGTAACGTTAATTTTTCATGGGTGGTTTCAGCATGGATGCCAAGCGTGGATCCGATCATAACGACGGATGCATATGGTCTACGCTCACATCTCTGGTCAAGGTTTTCGCAGGCAGCAGCATCCGTTTGTTGGCAACACCTCCTCGGACCCAAGGAAAGTTAGCTACTGCACCCGCCAATCAGCAATTGGAAGAAGAGCTAGTGGCGACAGACGTTGGGCACGTGGTCTCCACCCAGACGAGCGAGCGGGTGGAAGAGGATTGTAGACGCCGAGGAAATTTCCGGATATAAAATTGCGAAGAACTGGAAACCATTCGTCGCAAACGTAATCTTGAATCTTGGTGTGTTTCCCTGCAACACCAGTACGTCAAGCCCGCACCACCAGATCCACACTTCTTTCGATGCAAAACTAGATTACACCTCCTTGGCCGAGCTGCTGTTCTCCGCCCACGCACGAGCTGGGCCCATCCGATTTTCGGACTTGCAAGGCACGTACGCTTGTGGGAGCTGCCTCCACAGCTCATCGTTCACGGTCGAGAGGAGGAGCAGTTCCAGCAGTTCCGCAAGAACGTTCCGGGAGTTGCGAGGGCGTGACTTTACGCGGCGGAGGAGCCTGCTTCCTGCTGCGCGTGCTCGAACCTGGGGGAAGCTTGTTCTCGAGGAGGTATGTGTAGTATCATAATTTCGAGCAACGAGAACTGAGAGAACGTCGAGGATGCGCACTGTTGTCTGCTGTTGTTGCAATTGTTGCCAAAAGGAACGTTGGTAAATCATCCAAGCGTGCTATATCTCCGCCAGGCCCGCCAGGCCCGCCGGGAGATTCTCCACCGCGAAGGGACGATCATCTTGGCAGGCAACTCTCACCTGCGGGTGTACAGAGAGAGGCGAACAGAGGCAACATAGCGAAGCACAAGCATTCTGCCACCACGCACGCTTTGTTTCTATCTTTGATGCGCATCACCCAACACACCAAGCAACAAAAGCGGAACACATCGTGTTTGTTGGATGGGATCCCGAGCCTGTAGGCAACGGGGGGATGAGAGGCTGTGTGTGGTGTACGCCGTGCAGGCCTGCCATACCACGCCCCTCGCGAACGTACCCAAGTTTAAGGTCTCACGTTTTGAGGCGCTGCGCGTAAGGCTCCCCCGACGCTGTGGTTCATCCTCTCGTTTCAAGGGTAAAGCGGACCGTCTCGATGTTGGCGAGCACGAGCGGCGGTAATATTCAGAAAAAATATGTACTATATAGTCATCCCAAGTCATCTGGTCAATCCGGCTAATCAAGGTATGCATACATAGATATCACCGCGGCTCCCAGCCCGACTCCGTGGTGTCGCAACACACGTTTGAGCACACGTGTCAAGTAACCTTCGCTAAAGGTTGGCCGAAAATATATGGCAAGCGCCGCCGGCTACTGATGTCTCGGTGACCGCCGTCCGTGGCTCGGTTGGTACTCATGTACATAGCAGGTAGGTTGAAGTAAGGTGCGAAGGTTGAATCTTGAAATTGCAACGTCCCGTATCCCGCCGCCTTGACCCGCTCCACTCGAAAGCGCGCACGTCTCTCAAGGACGTAAGTGATTCCCGTCGCCCTCCCTCCCTGCTACCACTGCTGCGCCCAAACAGTGTTTCAGCGTTCCTTGCCGGGGGTCGAGGTAGACGCACGAACAAGAGCGGAGATGTCGGCGGCTGTGTCCAATGCACCGGCTTCGGCCGCATCAGCAGCTGCAACAATGGCAACTGCAGGCGACGTCGAGGCACCGACTCTCTACCCAACACGCGACCAACTGCGGCCAGGAGGGCACGCGACAATGCCAGGAGATGCTGCAGCGGTAGAGCTGGCGACCGACCTGGATGCTGGCGACGCTGCTGCCCCTGCTGGCGGCGCGCAGCTTAATACCACTCCGCGACCGCTAGAAGGATCCAGTCTTCCTTTTCTGGCTGGATTGGCGGCGATTGTGAGCTTGGCTCTCTCTTCTGTTCTTTGGAATCCCTTCACGGCACTCGATATTTTTTTTAGCCTCTCTTCCCATCTTTTCTTGGCGCCAGTCTACTGCTGTACAGCTATGTATTTGAAGAACCGGCTGATGCCACACAAGAGGAAGACCATCTCCTCTGGTGGCGCTTTTACTTCAATATGTTGTGCGTGATACAATTTAGCGTCCCTTCAAGTTGTTCACTCTACTGCTGAAGGTTACCCGTAGAGGCGGAGATATAGGACCCCCCCCCCTAGACCGATTTTCAAAGCTCGATTGCTCCACAACCAAGATTGTAGAATACCAACACCAAGAATGATGTTTTTGGAAAAATCTTGTCGAGAGCATTCCGTGGAATTATGCCGTCTCCACCCCTGGTCTAGAATGAAGCTCATTTGAATTGGTAACTTGGGTCCACTTTGTTGGAACGAAGGCTGTCCATACGCCTTGCCTCGTTGCTCCTGGGTTATTCGGGATCAATCAATCAGGCGTTGTGTACCGCCTGTTGTACCTGTCCGAGCGATACCGCGTGTTTCTCCTGCTGTTGCGCTAAGATCAGCGCCCAACGTTTACATGTAGTTAGTTCTTCGTAGCCTCGGTGCCACATTGCACACATGAAGTACAAAGAACGCTGAAAAACATATATTTCAACACCGCGGCATCATTGGAGATGAACCAACCTCGCGCATATACCCCCCCCTACACAAATACATAGAACCGCCAAGCATCCACGTGAGACAAAAAAAAATGGGATTTTGTGTTATCTGTATTGATGGTGCGCCGTCGTCTAATGTATCGCGCTCGCCCACTCGTACGTACGTCATTTCCTCCCTCTCCCCGCTCTTGCCAAGAACAGATATCCACGATCTTCATCGTCGGCGACCTGTTGAACAAGCGCATGCTCCATCCTGCCAGCATCGTGGTGTTTCTGCTGTCGGTGAGCTACTGCGTGGCAATGCTGAGGCGACAGTGGGCAAGCACTGGTGAGTCAGGCGGTGCGATGGAACACCAGTTAGATGACATCAATGACATAGTACTTGATCTTGCCTTTTTTGGGAAGGTGGCCTTTCACCAGGGAAGGTGCCCAAGTCTGGTGGACCAGCACGGATACTAGATGGTACTGAGAAGGGACCAGATATTTAATTTTTATGCGACAGCANGATACCGGCGGCTCGCTTTCCGCGAACGCACCGGCGCCTTCCACGGGGCCTTGTTCTCCGGCACCATTAGAAGCAGAAGAAGTTGTTCATGGCGATGCTGCTACTGCTGCTACCGCCGAGGACGCTGCTCTGGCTGCCTCCCCTGGACATGCAACAGCTGCTGTCACCGCCGCAGCTACTCCGGCTGGTCCTGAGCTACCGGGGCCAAACGATGAAGGTGAGAAGGCGGAGGAAGGCGAGGAGGGGCGGTTGGACACATTGGTATCGTTGAAGAGTTGCGATCGTGGTGGCCATATGCTTTCGTGTTGCCTCCCTCTGTATTGTCTTTCAAGCGTCAGCAGGCTTGAGGAGGAGTTCTCCCCCCTCCGCCGCACCCCGAGTCACATGTGATTGCAGCTCCGAGTGCGAAGACCGTGTTCATCTTGTCGCGGAATGTCGGCTGTGCAAGGAGAAGAGGGAAGTGTACATGACTTGAGCTGGGAAAAGTAGAAGGAAATATAGGGAGATGTTTAAAGCATGGAATAGTCAGGATACGGCGTTAGCTGTACTGGGGCATAGGAAATGGATGGAAAGGCGGGACCTGATATCGGTAGGATAGACTGGTTTTGAGCCACCTTTGGCAAAGTAAAAAGGAACGATTGGCCATCAGTGTTCGGTATTGTTGGAAGAATGCTCCGCCTGCTCGAGGCCGCGTGGTCAATGGTCCAACCGCCCCCCCCGGTGTTTGCCATCGGGATTGGGTTTTCGTCGCTTGGCAAAGACGTTGTAAAACAAGCCAATTCACTTCGTGAACTCGGCAACCAGGTTACCGGGGTTTTTTTTTCCTCC